CGAAACCAAAAAAAGATGATGACGGAAATTTAATTACGAAGTAAAAGGAACAAAGGAAACGATGGGCTGACCACTTGAGAAAACTCTTGAATCGACTACCACCACCTGCAACTCGTCCAGAAACACCACCAGCAGACTAGCCACAGAACAATCTGTGAACAGAAGCCCTCCGACAAAAGTGGAAGTGAAGTCCTGAACGCCATAAAGCTACTGAAATCCGGGAAAGCAGCAGGACCAGATGGGACCCCCCTCCAGAAGCACTGAAAACAGACACAGAGACAACAGCATCGGACATGCTGACACCACCATTGCAGAAGGTGTGGAAGGAAGAGAAGATGCCTGCCAATAGATTGGAAGAATGGCTACCATGTCAAACTGCCGAAGAGGGGGAGACCTCAGTGTTTGCAAGAACTGGCGCGGAATCATTCTCCACTCCTGTCCACCCGAAGCAAGTAAAATCTTAATCCGCATCATCCTGGAGAGACTCAACGATGCTCTGGATTCAAAACTACGACCGGAACAGCTGGCTGGCTGGCTGGCTGACTGGCTTGATGGAGAACAAATCATGTGCGGACCGAATTGCTACGCTACACTATGCATCATCATAGAAGAGAGTATGGAATGGCAGTCAACTCAACTACATGTCATCTTCATCGACTTTGAAGAGGCCTTCGACAGCGTGACCGGGAAGTAATTTGGCAGGCAGCTGCTTCAACACTACGGTTTCAGTGCCACAAACCTTTACCAATCTCATTCAACAACTATATGAATACGCCACATGCCAAGTGATTCACAATGGGAAGCTCAGTGACGCCTCTGAAGTGAAGACAGGGGACAGGAGTAAGACAAGGCTGTCACTTACCGTCACTTATGATCTTCCTGATTGTGGTCGACTGGATCATGCAACAGACAACTGTGAGGAAGGAGAAGAGGGGGTTACGCTGGACCAAGGAAAAGATCCTGGAAGATCTGGATTTCGCCAGTGATGACTTGTGTCTGATGTCACACAAACTTGAAGATCTACAGGCGAAAACTAACAAGTTGACAGAAGAGGCAAGGCAGGGCAGCGAAGACAGGACTTCAAGTGAATATAGAGAAGACAGAGGTGATGAAGATACCCAACCAACAACTCGAACAACAACAACAACAACAACAACAACAACAAACTCCAATCACTATCAACGGGAGAAACTTAAAGGAAGTAGCCTGTTTCACCTATCTAAGCAGCACTGTCTCAACTACAGGCGGTGGCACCGATGAGGACGTCAAAGCCATCCAGGATCGGAAAGACACCAAGACAGGCCTTCCTGCATTAATCTGAAACCAGTGTGGAGATCTTCTGCACTGCACTCAGCATGTGGAACAACATCCGGATTTTCAACACCAACGTCATATCAGTGCTCCTATATGGTTGAGAAACTTGGCACGTTACGAAAGGCATTTCCAATAAACTACAGACATAAATCATCAACAACTGCCTACACTGGCTCGTTACTGAAGATCAGATGACCAGAACGATAGGAATGAGCAACAAGGAACTGTAGCCGGGCAACGAACCAACGAAGCAAGAACCCATCGCCCAACAAATATGCATTGGAAGGAAGTGGAGATGGATTGGATTTGGCATACACTGAGAGGGCTGATTGGGGACATCAGGCACCAGGCCAGACCCTGGAGTGGAAGCAAGATGGGAAACGGCGAGTTGGGCGTCCGAGGTGAGGGTGATATGGAGGAGATTGTGCGAGGAGGAAATGAGAGCTTGTGGGCAGTTGTGGAGCTAGGTTCGAAAGATTTCAGAGAAGAGAGTGCAGTGGAGATGTTCTACTGAAGCCCTCTATTCCACTGGACTAATCATATAATTAAAATATATGCGCATTATGATATGCAATATGTAACTCATTCAGCTTTCTAAACCTTTGTACTCAGCACTGACTGATAGCAACCATTATTAACTATCCGTTATTGAACGAAATGAAAATCAGTGTTGTTTTCCTGCCGAGTTTTCTAGGAATTCGGTGTGCACCAAGGGTTATTTATCAAAGCTTGATAAACTCTAACCATGTTTTTGTCTAACCTCTGTAATCTACGCAGTTTATTTTATCAAGAGATATTTGACTCAGCTGTAACTGTTTTCTCATTTCTAGCCTTCCACTGTGTCAGATATTGGTAGACAGGAAGTCAATGGATAAAACAGTGACGAGGTTCAAGTACAACACATAATTGAGAAGATTTCTCTTTCCAATAACTGTCACTGAGGTTTTTTTTTCAAATCTCGGTCGTAAAAACACAAGAAAGCGGAAGATGATCATCATTGAGTTAGATTGCATGTACTACCACTTGAGATAAGTTGATATCATATAGCAAAGTAGTTAAAATAATGAATAAGGATTCGGTAGACTTTACAACTTAGTTTACAATTCTAAATGCAGAATAAAACAACTGAACTTGGGTTACCTAAATGCTTTCCAAAGCTAGAGGTTTTTTCCACAACCTGATGAGTAGTCCTTTGTCATGAAGCTAGCGAAGTTAAAAGCAAACATAATTAATCGTAGTGAAAATCACAGACGGAAAATAGAAAATAATGACAATCTATGTTTAGTTTTGTGACTCAAAGATAAAATGTTTTTTCCGATGCTTGAAGAACTATAATACCGAATTAGTGTAGTATACAATGTACTGCACGATTCTCATCTGAGCTATAGTTTGTATTCAGTACTTCTTTATATTATTTGCTTGTTCTATAACTGGTGTGAACAATGGACAAATGGGTTCAGTAAAGCCTTAACTCAAAGGAGTTAATCAACTCTGACCTAATGAAAGCTTAATTTCGAGCCCAAAATATAATGCATATGTTTCTAACGTACATGCATTCACAACTTCCAGATTGATCATATCGTGGGTAAGGTTGATAAGTAGGGTTTCTTCATTCTTTTTCCCAAGTGAAATAAACTTGATGTTTGACCTGATGTCTGCTTATTACAGTAATAACGGAAGTTGACATACTACTCGAATAAACATGATTAGAAACCGAGTCCCGCAAGTTCAATCTCCACTAAGGCCTAGGTTCCCTTTCGATTCCAAAGAAAATTTGGTTAAAACTTAGCAATGAATGTGTTCATGTTCAGTATCGTAAAAGCAGACTCAAAAACTGTGTTTACCGTCTACAACATCAATACAATCCCATTTTCACCATCATACATTTGTGGAAAGACACGTGATTTGAAAGCTTCATATTTTTTTAAAGAATACCACATCGTGGTATTTCTCTTAATATTGTATTAACAAATAATGTGAATAAATACAAGTTTAAGTCCCAAAGCCATAATTCTACTTACTGTTTTCAGCTCATTGCTTCCAGATTGGTGAAGATCACCTAATATTCAGCTAACCCTAAATTTCCGCTGCTGGAGCTCAGAAAATAAAACCTATTCTGTTCAAAACCAATTATCTGTTTGTATGTACATTGAATCTAAGCACTGATGATTTCTGTAATGTTCTAACTCCGTTTCTGCTTTTCTATGTCCTAAAGAGCTCTTGAATACTTTATTTGCTTACATTACCTACTTAGTCATATTGGGTTCTAAATATGCTGATTTGCACTACGAACCAATACAAGCATACACTTCATTTTTTCTGTGAAGTGATACTATCCCAAATCGTACATGTATTCTCACACTGCAACTCCTACTGCCAACGAATTTCTGCTGATGAAAACAATAAGTGCCGAAAGCTCACTATTCTATTGGCTGTTTATTTTTGTAAACACTCTTTCATACCTAATCTAGCTGGCCAATTGTTATGTTCAGTCTCACAATGCTTTTTTGATTATTTTTTTTATCTGCCAATTTTCTTTTTTTATCTAACCGAAACTAGACACAATATGTCAATCCGTTTTCTTTTGTTAATACTTTAACCCAATGCTCCTGTTTTTTTGTATAATTTTTATTGTTAATATCCTATGTACATTGAATAATAGAAAGAAGGTAAGAGAGTTCGAACTTGCAATTACTAGCTTATGAGACATCTATATTTCAAATCCTTATTATGTATGACCTTTCTAGTAAACAACATGAAAAGTTCATAAAATCTGGTCTATGCAGTCAGCAGTTTTAGCTTTTCACTATTGACGCTGAAATCACATATACCAATAAGCAGAGTGGATTAGGCTGAGCACGTATACACAGATTAAGTCAATAAGAGGGAGGGAGAGAGTGGAGTATAATTTTACAGTCAGTACTTCTCCCCCAATGTCTATTTCAGCCGTGACATTTTCTTCATCTATGTCAATCCAGCAAGCGTTTGGTCAGAGTCATTGTAAGGCAAAAACAAATCACATGTGCGCATGCAAAATAAGTGAGTAAAGCTACCAAAGGAAAATACTCAAGTAAGGGGACATGCTTTCCATCCCATTTCCATTCACTCCACCTAATCTTACTGCTCCATCGATATAGCAAGACTGCATATGTACATTGTAATCTACGCACACCACTCACTACCATACCTTGTTAAACTAACTCAAGGGTTGGGACACGTTACAATAGTCACACTGCATACACACATACACATGTACAAGTTTGCCTTTCAAAGTATGCATTTATACACAAGCAAACATGAGTTCAAACATACTCTTTCAGGCACTTTCTCGAATAAAATTTTGACTGTCCGTACTACAATGTGCTAAACATCACTCGGACTTACCGTAATCCAAGGGACATCGGTAGTTCATTGGACAAAAATTAAAACTAATAGCATATCATAAATTTTAAATTTTGTTATACATATAATTTTTTTTCATTCTGTCTACTTACATCACCTATTTGCCTGAAAAGTTGTTTAGTGAGCTAATAATAGTAGCAGTAGCAATTTTCGAGTAAACGAATAGTGGTAGTACATTAATACCGAAAGAAGATAGGTTTCAGCAGACAGAAATAAACTCAATTTTTCACTTCTCTACGAAAAATTATTTTTGAACTGCATTTGATTAAATTATAGTAAATCTTATGGATGAGCAACAAAGCTTTTTGATATCTACTGATACTACTATCAATCCATCTGTTATCAGTAGTACAAACAACAATGACAGTAATTCACCTCAGTCACCAGTAAACAATGAATCACACACAAGTTTTATCGATAAAGAAAAGTCCTTTGAACATGAATTATCAGGTATTCCAGAAAACGAACACCTTAATCGTCATATACAAGATATGATGATTGATCATGTTGACACTGATGATATAACAGAGGATACTGATGACGATGAAGATGATCAAGGTGATATCAATCAGCAGTCAGGTAAAATGGATCCATTCAATTTCCATTACTCGAATAATGCAAATGATTCTGATGATTCAATGAAACAAGTTAGCGATGGAAACAAAGATACAGGGAAATTGATCTACTCAAAATCAGCTTCAAATAATTCTCCTGAGGATAAAAGACCACGAAAATTTATCTGTCGATATTGTAATAAAGCATTCAGTCTGATGAATGTTCTCAAAGTACATGAACGAATACACACGGGAGAAAAACCATATGTTTGCGAAATATGTAACAAAGCATTTAATCAAAGCGGTAAGTTATGCGTATACTGAACTTTTACATTTGTTATTTCATGAAATGAAAAGGTTTATACTAGAGGATGATCCACGCCTATTGCACAAGGTTTTTGACGCTACCTGGCTGGTCTGATGGAAGTAGATTGAGCAAGTTATGAACCCGTAACTTACTGGCTGAAAGTTTGGTGCCTCAGGCGATTGGCCATTCTCCTTTACCTCTGGGATTTGTTTTGTAAATTCATGGAGTTAATATGGAGTCACATGTTATTGATTTCATCTACTGATGAAATGAGTAGCCGTATCTAAACAGTTACATCAGTACATCTGAAGTTATCATATAATTTCTACATGCTAAAGAGAGAATATTTCACTAGGGTTTCTGTTGTAGTGTAGTACCTGGAAATGTCAACATCTGAATCAATCAATCTTTTCTTGGATTATGTCTTTTGGTCCATTATCTAGCATCCTACTGGTGGCGATCACTTTCCTCCGAAAATTAGTTCCATTTGCTTGAGTCATCTGACAGTGAAATACATGAACTGGTTACTTTTTTAAGTGAAAAGCCTCAATCCCTTGCGTTCATCGCTCCACATTTAAGATAGATGCATTGTATTCCTTCCTCATCATTTTTGTAATTAGGTATATCCTAAGATAACTGAATATGGATTTGTACTCTATGAGAGAAGCAGAAACACACTGAAGGATGACTTGATCACAGTTTATTTCTTTTATTGAAAAAGCCCTGAATTTATGGCTCATTAGCTTAGACTTTGAAGTGATAGGTTTCAGATTAAAACTCTGCTTCACTTACGTCAGCATAGGTAACCGGGTTGTATAGAAAAATCCTAGAATTACTTTAGGCTCATAACCTAGTGCAAATTGTACCAGGTTGACTGTAACACAAACATATTTGGCGATAAATATTTCCGGAGAAAACTACATCGTTGTAGAAATTTCAATTACGTTTTGAGGTATACTTTTGTAAAAAGCCTTTGTTTTATGCAGATAGATAAGAATTAAACGGATAATACACTTTCAGTTCATAAAAAAAGCCACTTAGTTAAGTAATTTTTTTATCATTTGAACGTGTTTCACTGTGCCAGCGGCCCACTGAAATAAGTGTAATTACTTTAAGTTTTGCAGACTCATAAACTCATTTTCTCCGAAGTTCCATAAAATGCTGACTACGAGTGAAATCCTTTGACCACAGACAGCTTTTACGAGTCCATTGTTTATATATTTTTAAATTTTAATGGTTCTTCACGCAAAATGTATTTACACTACAGAAACGCAGCTTTGTTGAATATATGTGGTATATGCTAATAGGCTTTATTTCAAGCACGATAGAATTTAGAATGGGAAAAAACTATACCTCTCGTAGATTGGTGAAGCTTCATAAAAATAAAATCTATTTGTACCATTGGGTAAGATTCTCTCATAGATATGTTGGTGACAAATGCATAGGTCATCTTCAAAATACTGATTACTGTCAATAACTACGTATTTGACACACTGAAGCTGATGGAACTGTAATAGAAATATGTCTCAGACAGCACTTAGTTCAAAAGGTCATACGTTGACTGTGGATAACTCGGCTTTTTCTTTCAGAAAGTGGTGAAACTGTGGTCAACGAACTCAATAAACTAAGAGTAACCCCATCACATTGCTCATCTTTAAAAAGGACTGATGTAATGTACGTGATAGTTACTATGGTATTAGTTTGCAAACAGCTGGATCTGAAATAGTGTTAACTATCGTACAAAGTAAAAACTGCAAACCGCTCAAAAACTTCAGTCATTAAGAGTTAGGAAGGCTTTTTTTAGGTCGCATACTCATTCATCACTTGTGATACCAGATTTTTCTATCCCATCACGCTTTTTATATACCAAAGTTTGCGTTGCCCTTGGAATTTTCTCTGAGATATGGTCATCTACTTAGTTTGTCGACACCCTTAGGGCCCTTCATAGCTACATCTTAGGTGGGGTTAGAGCAATTAACCATCTCTACTCATTGCTTTCATTTTAACTTATCTGCCTATGGTACCCTTGCTATACTTTTAGAAGATGCATGTGATGGTAGTGCTGTAGATCTTTAACACAGCGAAATATCATTTAAACTTGATTATAAGAATGGCATTAGCCTACTGTGTAACAATACACGGGTAACTGAAATTCCAAGTCATCAGTTAGCGATCGATATCAGTATGTTATGCACTTGGCACCATAAAAGTGTAATATGGTTTCACAAGAATGACAGAAGTGTGTTCTTGCTTTTGGTGGTAAACTTTCGAAGCATTTGGGGGAGTCTGAGCACTCGAGTGGTTGTGTGAGTGCTGGTGGAAGTATCAGGCATGAGACTTTTAACCATTTATGATATATAAGAGCAACATGTACTAACCTAGGTCACTTTAAGGTGCTTTTGAAATGCTAATCTAACACTAAAAGACCGGATATATGATGTGTGAATCCATTTGGTTCTCCTCTTCATCTCTGAAGCTTAACTTATCAAAGGTGAGAACGTGTTATGACTTTCTGTTCGAAGATCGATGTCTCTACACGACTTGGGTTTATCTAGTGGCAATACCGCATAATATTACTGAGTTGATCGATGAGTGCATTTTGAGTTTTTGATTCGGGTTCCAATATTGTATATGTGAACTGGGTGAGTTTATTCATTTGTTAGATAAAGTCATCTAGAAATACTGAAGTCGGTGGCTTAAATATATGTTACCGAGTCATTATAAAAATTTCTTTCCTATAGACTTTTTCCTGAACAACTGAAACAAGCAGAGGTGATTAACTTATGACCTGATACCATAAGATGAAGGGAAGTTTTGTTGCTCACCTTGATATTCGTATTTCCTGGTGAATGAAAGCAGTCTTACTTTGTTTTTATTCATTCAGGAATGGAAATAACAAACTTGTAAATATCACTTACCCAAAGGCTAATTTTTTTAAGTATCAAGCCTGAATTTGGTCTAAATATCTATAGTTGCTTGTGAAAAACAGTTTTGGTGCGTCGCAGCTCTCTGTGGGGTTATACAATTCAAAGCATTGAGACGTCATAGAATATGGCTTTTAATTTAAGATGGAGGCGATTATTTAGTAGCCGATTTTTCTCATCTATTGTTAGAAAGTTAGGCAGAATTGATGCAAGTTTGTGGGGTTTATTTTATTAGTCCGTTCATCATGTTTTTTTTCTGTTCATCTAGTTAGAAGTTATTAAGAGTCAATCAATAGGTAGCGTTATGGTTGCAGAAAAGCCTTGCTGATGAATGTCAGCAAGCATATAAACTACCTCTAGGACTTATTTCCGATTAATTCTCAACACCCAGTACCAAAATACAGGTCACATTGCGTAGCTTAGTGGATGAATTACAAAAGTGGATAATAAATTTCGATTAGTATTCAATACATAGGATTTTATTCCTACATCGGTTACCACCCAGTGGTCAATCATCACTTAATCTTTTCTTACACCTTCATAATAAGTGAAAAATTTAATGACAACCACATAGTACTAGCCTTACGTGACTATTACAAGCATCACTTCTTGAATACATTCAATCTAAGTTCTCATTACTCCTGGTGCGGATAAGATTGGATACTGTCATTATTTCACGTGAGTACTAACAAGTAATTTGGCAAACATTTTGATTGTTTGAAAACCACATGGTAAGAAGTAATCTTATCCCTATAAAAGTTTTACTGCTGTGTAAAACATGAGATCACTAAAGCTCACTTATATCAATATCACTACTAAGTGTTAATTTCGATGGTCACTTCCCGAAGTTGAGCCGTTCATTAGTAGTTAATGGACCTTTAGTACTTCTGTAAACGCTTATAATGACGTCATGCAGAGTCTAGAGTAATTTTTCTGCATTAAGTGTTACTTTTCCTAGGAAGTTGTTTCACTTGATGATCATTGTGGTGATGCGTATGCATAGAAACCAGCCATGACTTAAGTTTTTAATTCACCCTCAGTCATCACACCTTATCAACGATATCAGTCCACCAAACCGCGGCTACCTTTTCAGTCCCACTGATAAACAGACTGTGTAATGGTCACATCTTTCAGCTTTCTACTGATACACAACACGACAGCTTTAATTTTTTCTATTTTCCTTACTAGGACACAGAAATAAAATTAATTGTGACATTTTGTCTACTTTGAGTATAAAGATGTTTTCTTGACAAAGGAATCATAGTTGTTATATCACATTTTCTTAACTTCTTATGCTGGTAGTTACAAAACACAGACTAGCGAACAGAAGTTAACACAAGCCTATCAAAAACAGAAGGTGATAGCTAGTAACGAACTACTACCGAACTATTCCATCTGCTTATTGAACAGAAAGAATTAAAAATTGCAAATGTCATCAACCGGTAGCCAAAAAGTGGACCACTTCTGTATATGTATTCTAAATGCCTGTGATTATCAATTTCTTGTGAGCAATTAAACCCATTGTTGCACAGCTAAATAAAGAATGACCACTAGAAAAACGCCAGATAGCCTAATAAGTTTACACACTGTTCTCTTTTTTGTATTGCTGTAATTTAAATGAACTAATCAAATCTTCGGCTAGATGTCTGTAGGTCATTCATATATTCACATAATCATTCATTCTAGTCTAACCAATCTATTTTAGGTTTATGACATCAATCCCTTTTCTGAAACTGATATAGCTATAAAATATAGTGTTCATTGTTCCTTCTTTTTCCAGTCTTGATGTGTCATTTAGTTTGATAGTCACTTTTTGAGTCATTTGTTCTCAAGGTCACAAGATTTAAGATGTTAGCAGTTGTTGTGATGACACTAATCGATTCAAAAAAAAATTTATAAAAATTATTAAACTTTGACCCGCTGTATGAATTTCAATCCTAATTTTTTTAAATATTATAAATTTAACAGAGAAAACTTCACGGTAAGTCTAGATGAGCAAAACAAGTATTTACTAATTCCATATTAGATTTGTTTATTTGAAATATAGCGCAGAGTGATACAGTATTATTTACTTGATGACGTTTCGAGCATAAATGATTATTGCTCATAATCATATCAGTGTGATATAATATGATTATGAGCAATAATCATTTATGCTCGAATCGTAATCAAGTAAGTAATGCTATATCACCGTGTGTTATAATTCAAATACACAAATCTAATATGGAATTACATTCTACCACAGTGCCCAAGTTTTACACTTATATTAAGTATTTACTAAGATGAGGTATATCTTAGACATGGTATCGAACGTTTTACGGTTCATATATATATATATATATATATATATATATATATATATATATATATATATATTCATGGCTGACTTGACTATGTTTAGCAGTGGAATCCAGGACGCGCGTTTCGTCCTATTTGGGACTCGCAAGCCACATATACTAGCATCCCAGTGAGTGATGTTGCTCCCACTGAGACTGGAACCTCGTACCCACCGTCGCTAGTCACAACCAAGCCAGTCATAACAATAAATATTCAGGGAACATCAAGGTGTCCGCATAGGAGCCCATATCTCATTTCGATCCAGTATAACAGCTAAGAATTAAAACTATTAATAAATAATAAATAATTTATACATATATTCTTTTTATTTCTCCTGAACTGACAGATGAGATGCCATTAGTCTAAGTGTTATCTGTAAAAAAAAATTGTTCATTTGAACTTCATCAGAACGCTGTGTGCTGTTACTATAATTATTCGTGGATCACATCATTCAAAGTAAATGTAAACGAATAGAAGAATAAGAGGAATGGTAAACTAAGACTTCACGTAATTACGTATTGATTTAAATTTACACACTTCATATCGACATTGTCAAGAAGTTAACTTGAAGGAAGGTGGTAACATGAAAGTACTATCAACTGTTGCGTAAAGTTACAATATGAGAAGAGAAGAGGATTAAGCGAACAGAGATGAGTGATTATACATTCAAGATTTAAACAAAGGTGAGGCTTAGATGCATCTGCTTCAATGGACCAGTTTTTAGACAGTGTCTAGAGTCTTCACCCATTACTTCTACTTGTCTAGCTGTCTAGAATCTAAATAGAAAGCCAGCAACTTTCGTCATAGCCACTTTTAGATCTTTTCGGCGTGATACCACTCCATTAAATGTAGGTTATTTTATGTAAACTCCTGAGTATTTGAAACAAAATAATTCAAGTCTTTCTCATGAAAATCCGGTACGAACTTCAGTGAAATAATCAAAATTAAAATATGAAAGAAGTCAAAAACAAGTACTTAATCTCCTTGTCCAATCCCATTTGTATATTCATTATTTTTAAACTATGATTACTAATCATTCAACGTGAAGTTGTATGCAACTTTTTACATTGTGTCGTTTCCTAATCCTATATCCACCTTCACTGAGAATACAAAGCCGAAAAATACATTGAGCATAGAATTGTTCAGCTTGTATAGTATATAACGTTGGTTGTGTCCAACTTCTGCATAGTTTATGTGGTTATTCCAGTACTCACAAATAGCAGTGACAAGACAGGAACGTTAAATCAATATTAACTGCTCACTTAGGAAAATCATGATTTAAAAAAATTGAGAACTATCACTCAAATGAACGACAATACATCTCGGTAACAAGATACAGATTTTCATGTTAGGCCATAAACTGCACATAATGTGTTGGCTTATTAAAATCTTTAGGAGATAAGGTGCAGTGAACCCCACTAAGTTCGAACCTCTAATGGAACTGTTGATAGTCCACTATCTGGACTAAATGACTACAGCTTCATGATGTAGTCTCTTTAAGCGACGAATAAGGAAATGGAATTTTAGATATGTGAAGCAGAATTTAGTTGAAATGAAACAAATACTACAATTACTAGCAGATATTCTTAAATACAATTGTTATATTCACCTCCTAATAGATGGTTAGCAATGGGACGGTAGTTTGTTCAACAGTAAAAATGTTATGGCATCAGCACAACTTTTTGATTTCGCACATTTGTGTGACTGCATGATTTGTGTTCTAATTTGTCAGCACTTAAATTATGGACTCATACTCCGTTCAGATAATTTCGTTTTAGTACCCCAAGTGTTTGGTTAATTCTGACAAAAACAGTATTCACAATTTATTTACCAAAGTCTTTTTTATGCATTCATAACATCAGAAGCAATTCCTAATCAAGTTATATCTGCCTCAAATGTTAGTGAATTAACAGATGTGTTCACCTCACTCGTTAATCAGCAAATAAGGTCTGAAAGCATTTGTGATCTCGATTGTGGTGATTTAGAATGATATGTACTAAAACTGAGTCCTACTTTATAATTGACTAGCTAACCAACTGTGCATTGTCGTACCCAAATCCTAATGCCTTGTTGTTATCTTCTATTTCTTTCGGTCAAACAAGGTGTGTTTATTGCATACAAGTCATTCATACTGTTTCGTTTAGTGAACACGGTAACCAGATGCTGTCAACACCCATAGTTATTACTGATTCATTAGGTGGTTTATTTATATATCCCTGTTGCGTGAATATGGTGCATTCGACTCATTCATGCAAGATGAAAGCTACAACCCTCCATTATTTCAAATTTTACATGGTATCAAGATAGATATCTTACATCCAAGATACTCATAATACCAATAGTTCATGCTTATTCAAAGTATTTTCCTGGGATATAAGAAGGGTTTAGTGTTACTATTATTCACTAAATTTGGGTTATTCACTGCCCTTTAGTTGGCAGTCAAAATCTTTTCAAGATTTAAGTCGGTAGGTATAGAATATTTAAGCATACATCAGTTTTATTCAGGTCTATATTATCATTATTATCATGAAAGACAGTTAAGCAACTTATTCGTAGCGATTCATAAGCATAATGCTGACACAGCTATAGATACACTAGATAGTTACAATTCAAACATCAACTGGTCGAATTTTGCATCCTTTAAGTCGTAACAGTAACTGTAACAATGGTTTCATGTGATTATATTTATAACAAAGATGTGTATATCATAAAGATGAGTCTCGTGGTGTGGAATTCTCTAAACTGCATTGCCCTTTTATTTATACATGTCGTAGAATATGACATCACAAAATAGTTGACAGATCAGATCTTTAGGTAGGTTATAAAACTTTTGAAATTTTCAACTGAAATTTAACTGAAAAATAATCATAAACTGAAGTCTTTAAATGCATTCTCATTTGACACTTCAGAGATTGTTTCCATCAGCCTATAGCTCCTTACAAACATCTTTTTCTTATTTACTTAAAGACAGTTATGGCATTCATAACTAGTGTTAATGAGAAAGAATGCAGTACAACAACCAAATTCAAAATAACAATTGTATAATTCATTACAATTTATGCGGCAAAGTTTTATTACTGGATTTTCGACACATAATTCACTTAACTAGTGCACTAAGTCTAGTCACATAACTTATTGACCACACTCCAAATTTATCCAATTAAATTCACTCAGCCCTGAAAGCTCTATGGTGTACCATTTGTTATACTTAAGTGGCCAAAAAAGTATAAAAACCTTTTTAAAAGTTTCTCACAGTAGTTAAACGGAAAAAAGATACACGGACTCGATGATGCTTTATGTATTCGAAGTATGCATCATTTAGGAGTCTTATAAACATTGAAAGAAGCACTCTGTCACCATAGACTAAGACCTTTTCATTCAATGAATCGATCTACACTTTATCCGCGACATAAACACAACCTGAAGAAGAGACTTGAAACGATAGTATATTATCACCATTCTGAAAACAAAATTTTCCTGATAAACAAATTTCATTAAAATCTATTTTTACATCTCCGTTTTCTCTCTGTAACTATATAGGTTCCTTAAATCGTCATAAGAATACGCATACAAAGCGCAGTAGTGATAACCGCAGTTATTCATGTCGATTTTGTCCACGCCAATTTTTGCATTCAAGTCAGCTTCAAGATCACGAGACAGTTGAACATAGTATGGAAATAACTTTATCCAAATCAAAGTCAAATGATATGGGTGCTGGAAGTTATATTACACCACCGATATCATCAATGGCCGATGAGTCGAATATAATCAAACAAAATCATCTATCTAGTCAACTACTTCACAATAAAGTGATCAGTGACTCTTTGAAATTATCTGGTACAGAATTTAACAGTAATAGTAACAATATCGATAAAAATATGAGTAATACACATACCAACATAGATAATGATATTTTTAGATGTCAGTTCACTGCCATATTTAAATTCTACACCAAGTTTTTCGAGCTAAATACTATAACTACAGGAGGATCAAATAAATTCCCATTTCCATATGATTTAAACTTAATAAGTAAATTTTTACCTGTTGCCACAGCGGATGAATTGATGAGATCAATGGAAAACAATACAAATGGGTCATTGAATTGTTCAGTGACAACAATGCCAACAACAAATTCTACTTTATCCACCGCTACTTCTACTACCACAGCTGCTATTGTTTCAGATGGTGCCGCTCCAGTTATCCAAGGAGCAGTTAAACAAGAATGTTTAAATGATACAAATCCATTTACTTGTACATTATGTTCAGCAAATTTACCGTCAAAAAACAGAATTAGATCTACATTGGGGACAGCATTTTATTCAACAAATGGGTAAGTATGGATAAATTCGTCATTTATTGTCCTGTGTATATTTGTGTTCGCGTCTAAAGTTAAATAACACATACCAAACTTCATGTACTTTTATTCTGGTTCTAGACTGCTCTTCTAACTAATTCACTTTCAAATTTCATTCTTCTTCACTTTTTAACAGCTTAGTCGGCATAGACTGGATGACTAATTCGCAAGTTATTCATAAAGCGAGTGGTACATGTTGATAGTTCTTCGAAATAGTTTCTTGAATACCTCACTATTGAGTTGAAAGTGTTTCCTTTGGGAACTACTCAGCCAAAGCTACAATGTATATAATCAATAGCACAAAAGTTTCATAAACTATTCAGCTATGAAAAACGTTAACGCAGACCGTAGAAAGTATAACTAGTTTGCAGATCTTCCATTTGACGGTATACCGGTCAATCGAAGTCAGCTTATCAGGTTGTTGTGAAAAGAATTTATTTGAGTATAATACTGATGAACTCAGTCCCGAATAAACTAAATGGCTGTTGCATGTTCAGGTCATTGTGATGTGGATAGTGGAATCTACTGACTTTTAACTATTCATAATGTGCAATAGTGTATATTTCGATAGGTAATGCAAAATAGGACAAAGTCAAATGATGAGTCTGTCTCATGAAAGATGTCTAAGACTAGAACAAGAGTTGATTCGAATTCAGAGAATGTGAAGGGATTCACTATTGGTGATAACAAAACTAATCGAGTCACATTCGAATTCGAAGTTACAGAGGATTTCAGCGCTCAAGTTGTATTACAGATGTAAGGAACTGAGAGATGAAGTGATCATATTCTAACACCAAAACGTTATCTGCGGAAAATAACCATTCTCCTAACATTTTGTGAAAACTGTTAACTAGTTTGATGCACTCTTCAGAAGTCTACCGTTTGGATTGTGACTTATGCTGCTTTAACCTTTATTGACAGAAGTATATGTTATTTTTACTGTTCAACCAATCAGAGGTCACTGATAACACTAACAGTGTACGACTAAGAAGACTTTCTAACATCTCAATTATGTTCTTTTTGAAACCGGTCACATTATTATTGTATTTGTTTATGAACCATTATCACAATTTAAAGATGAAATTATTCCGCTAACTAAAGCAAAGCGAGATTATGGGGAAATTAATCGTTAAATACATAATTTTTGATCGAGAATACATAAACCATTTTACTGCTTGCATAGAATGTAATTAAGTCTCAAATGTCCTTAAGCATCATATGAATAAAGGATTTTCAAAGTTAAAATATTTATATTGGTGAATAGCAGTGGAACCCAGGACGTGCGTTTCGTCCTATTCGGGGCTTATCAGCCGTACGTACCTGCCTCCCAGTGAGTGGTGTCGGTCCCACCGAGACTCAAACTCAGTACCCATCACTTCGAACACCAAGGCATTATCCACTAGGCCACTGCGGTACGAGAGTCAAAATACTTATTTTGTTGTCGATTATACTCTGTGATGCAGTATTCATTCCCATGGACAAAGTGATCAGCACTACAGATTTTCATTCAATATCTGTTTATGTATTCATGGACAAGATAAATATATTTCTTTAAGATTCTCAATTAAAGTCGACATTTAATAACCCTTCGTTGTATTGTACACAAAGCAGTAAAAGTACAAGCGATCAAGTTATGATTTACAGTGGTTACATACATTGTAGGAATGTACTTTACAAGCACCAGTTAATAATGTTCAATGTAAAACTGTGTACTATTTTATTCTTCTAAAATATAAGGTTTGCTAGAATATTTTAAAGTATTTCTAAGTTTTTAAAAATCAATATCTGACCATCATATGAATCATGGCGAGATATTCGCGTAACTGACTAATGAATCACGTGATTAACTGTCATCAGCAATTTGTATGCTACTGGAGGATAAAGCAAGCATATTCTTAATCCAAACTCGTCGAAAATTTTAATTATAATTTGGGTGATTGACCCAGATTATACTAGTGGTAACGGAGTGAAATGTCAGAAACATCTGGGATTAGAAAGTAATTAATACTGGATTTCCAAGTAGTCATTGGAGCAGTAAGGTACGAACATGTAAGCGTATTGCTGATAAGTGAGAGTTTGGACTATCGAGTTACAACCGTGTGGGATCCTGTTGTTTTTCATTATTCTTTTTTCGTTGGTAGTGGCTAGTTATACAAACCATTTTTTAACAATTGTGATTGGATGATAACAATGATCTCTTACTTTGGCCTCCTGGATAAAAATTGTTTTTTACCAATCCTTACTTCATATACACCCATACTCACAAACTGTACTAGTCGACGGTTTTCAATTAAGTAATACATGACGGTAGCATCTCATATAAGGGAGTAAAGTTACATGCGATATAAATTCGTTATGCACACTGGATAAGAAAGTATAAAACTTCCTTCATAAAATCTAGATGCGTTATATTTTAAGGCTGATGCTTAACAGTGTTGATGAATATCAGACTGAATTGTGAGTACAATTTTTATCCCTATTTTTCACGCTTTTATTCAATGGTTAGAATGTGAACAGTCAAAACCTATTGATACCTTGAAGATATTATCCAATGCTCTGCGGTTCAGCATTACTCAAAAGACATTAGAGTGGATATTTTATTTTGATAATTAATGAAACTTTCATTAATTAACCTTCTTGATTACTGATTACACTGATATCTTAACAATGACATGAGTAGGGAGATTTTATTGAATTATCGTATAAAACATATACAATATTTATTAATGGTTCTAGGCGAATAAAATTTTACTAAGTTCTGAGAAATAGTGGGTTACTCTCTAATAACTAGACGAAAATTATTAAAAAAGTTGGTCAGTTTCTGAAATTTTAATTATTACTTTTGGCTTGAGTGATAATCACAGTTTTCATAAATGCAAACGATAGTTAACCTAACAAGAAACGATAATATTGGGCAACAGTCTCCTACATGTTAATTCATACGTAATCATTTCTCTATAGCATGCTCCATTCTCAATAGGATCGGATCGTCAACGTGAGTGAAGCTCAGCCTAAGGTCAAGTCAACTATTTTGGTTGTAAACGGACTGAAGTTATTTGCATCTGTTGTTACCAAGCTATTCCTTTCACTGAAATACACTGATAACTAAACAGAAATCAATACATGATTGAAAATTGAGCACTATGTTAGAGAGAAATTTCATATCAGATTGTTGATTTGAAATAACATGCAGTGATACGGTATTATCTGCTTGATGACTGATTATCATAAATAAATTCTGCTAGAAACTACATCTAGTAAATGATACTGTATCATTGTATGGCATATCAAGTGAACAGTCGGATACTGAAGACAGAAGTTGCCTAAAAGTGATTCAGAGTTCACTGTCAAGATCACATATATCAGTTAATAGTCACAGATTGCCGGTTTAAATCTAATAAAGACATACAGATTCCTAGCCTGCAATCAACAAATCAATGAAATTCTTCAGTTAAACATTTTGAGTAAAATATATCGTGATCGATCACATTCGTTTTTCAGTTTTCCATAATTTTTTTATAATTCATTTTACTATATTCATCATCAGTATCAACATAGGACCAGGCATTATTGCTTAATGGTCCGAGTTGCCACAGCTCGTATCAGTACATCAAGTAAAATGCAGTGAGGTGCAAGATGAAGATAAGAAGATTCAGTCAGAAGAAATATAAAGTACGAAAAGAGAAAAACGAAGGATGAGAAAATGATGAAATTCGGTATAATGTTAAGATGAGGATAATGTGTGTATACATCTGCGCCACTGACATCGGTTCTCAGCTATATCACATAGAGTCTCCAACCACTGGTTCCTCTTGTCCCACGGACCCCAACCACAGAGTCTGCATCGCCCCACATAGCTCAAACCAACAGTCAAACACTTCATACATTGGTGCCATGTTTTAATCTGATTTTAAACTGATTTACCTCTTCTCCCTAAAACTCTACTCCTGACTTCTTCATTACTCACATGGTGACACCACAGAATACGGCTTATACTACGAAGTTAACGGTGGACAGACACCTGAAGCCTTCTCATGTCTTCCACCTTCAATGGCCATGTTTCACAGCCATACAGTAGAACAGACCGGACTGCTGTGCAATATAATCGGATATCACAGCGGCGCCACAGGTGGCGTAAGTTGGCAAAAGCCAGCCGAGCCTTTTGTATTCGTGCAGAGATTTCATCGGCCACTGACCCACCAGGGTAGGGCTGATCGTACTTCCCAGGTAAGTGAAGTGGTCAACAGACTAAACCACTACACTCTTTATTGTTAACCATGGTGGGGCACCGTTGAAGACCAATCCTGGAGCAACAATTTGCATTTAGGTGGTGAGAAACACATCCCCAACATTCTCAAGTTGTCATTCAAAGTGTCAAAGAAGACTCTGCATCTTGTCAGCATCTTCACCTAACAGGACTAAGTTATCTGCATATTATAGGTCTAACGAAAATTCTCCTATGATTAGGTCAACCTCTGTGTAATCAGGTGACGCGACAGGGAGACCTCCATAAGAATATCTATGATGAAATTGAATAAGGATAGAGACAGTGGGCACCCTTGAGAGACACCGCTTGACGAGTACAGCTCCTTTCTTATTTATTCATGTCACTTTTCTAGTTCATTTCATTATCTTTCCTGTTGGGTTTATTCTCTAGCTATATACTTTGCAAAGTATTACAATACTAACCAGCTTTTTATTGTGCAGCTTTCTACACCCTTTTACTTGTCTATTTGTACTTATCCTTCAAATCCAAACAGTAGTCTTCTACTGTTTGCTGTTCCATATTTGTGCAATGTTTATTTATCGCAAAGTACGGCATTTAATAAAAAAGTTCTATATGTTACAATAAATAAATCTTGTCAATTACTTGTCTCAATAATTCTCTTGAGCGTGTTGGAAAATCTCTTCTGATACTATCCATCAACTTTTACCACAGTATCAAACTGTACCAATATGGTAAAATTTGTTTTTCAGTAATCCTTTTCTTGCATCTTGTCATCTTCACTTCTGGTAATTTATATCAACTTACATGCTGCGATTGCAAGATATATCCAGTACGAAATACACACAAAAATGTTTAATGTAACTCAGCCAAATACAGGTTTGTACTCTAAGCATTCAGTCACACTTAATTTTTGACAGTTTACGATATCAGTCCATTGCCTAGATTAAACTTTCTGGAGCTGGATTTGAGGTCTACGGGGATTGCTTGAAAATCGACTAACGTGATGAACCACATCTCTACTAATCAGCAAAAGTTATCCATAAAACTGTCAGACAATTCTCATCGTTCGAATAAATGAGCATAGATTTTTCAACAGTTGGATCACAAGTAATTCGTGCTGCCAAATACTTTCAACAACCGAATATCACATATCGTGTATAGCTTGTGATCACACTGCACAACTTCATGAGTAGATATAGATTTTCATATATTTTGTGACCATCAAGTGTCAAACCTACTAGTTCATCCAAATAAGATGTAGTTTTCTTAGGTTTTGAAGTTATCTTACATAAACGATATGGACATGAACTTATATCAATTCAGCTAAAGGTTTTGTTGGGGCCCATTGATTTCGAAGTAAATTTTACCATGAACTGACATGAGTTGAGGAACCACTGTAAACCTGGTAACACTGGACATCTGTTTCAACTTCATTCAACACTCAGCTGTGCAAAACTATAGAATTTTGAGGAATCGATCATAGTACTGATGTGACATAAATATAGGTGTTTGATATCAAGTACATGATAATAATTTTTATACTTTTCGAACGGATATAATTCCAACATTCCTGCTGAGAAAACAGCCAACTCAGTAAGTTTTTAGATTGTCTTCGGTTATAAAGATGCTTCTACAGTGACCGTGTGCAAAGTGTAACTGGGACAACCATTGTTACCGAACTGAGAAGTAAATATCTGAAACAGTGTTGTTGCATTCCAGTGAAGATGTTTCCAACGAATTACTAGTTGAAAATATTAATCCTCTTCGATTTATTGCTTGCTCACTTAGTCATGAAAAGTTGGAGACCGACTATTTAAAGAATTAATCATAAATATCAGCGTTTTAGAATTGAGGTTAGTAAGCCTGGTTAACTAGTTTACTAGTTACTAGCCGGTCCTAAGCCCGGGTAAAGAGGGAAGGTTGGGCATAGGGCTAGCAACCCTACCCCGTAAAACAAATCTAACCGCTAAAGAAACTTCAAAGCACAAACAAAATATAAAAAATGAAAACAAACTTATTCCCCGCTGGAATCGGAGAGGCGAAATGACGCCAGTTGGTGAAAGCCTTCGGGAAGCCAATTGGCCGATGTGTCTTCTCTCGATGAAAGCGAAAGTAAACGTGGGGACATGGAATGTCCGCACGATGTTTGAACCCAGTAAGGCAGCCCAGATTGCAAAGGAGATGAGAAGGTATAACATCGAAGTGCTTGGGATTTGCGAGAGCAGATGGAATGGGAGTGGACTCTCCAAACTGTCAACTGGAGAATCAATAATCTACTCTGGTCACCCAGACGCCAACCACGAGCACACTGAGGGAGTGGCTATCATGATGTCCTCAAGAGCATCGAAGGCTCTCATGCAGTGGGAACCAATCTCCTCCAGGATCATGACAGCAAGATTCAACTCAAAAGGAAGAAAGGTCACAATCATACAATGTTATGCACCTACAAATAATGCAGAGCAAGAGAAAAAGGAGGAATTCTACAGACAACTTCAGTCAACACTGGACAAGACGTCAGTTGGCGATATCAAAATTCTAATGGGCGACATGAATGCCAAACTGGGAGGGGACAACACGGGAAGAGAACTAACCATGGGTCGAGAGGCGCTAGGTGAAATGAATGAGAATGGAGAATTGTTTGCAGAATTCTGCGCATTCAACGATTTGGTGATTGGAGGCAGTGTGTTCAGGCACAAGGATATTCACAAAGCGACATGGACTTCACCAGATGGACACACTAAAAATCAAATCGACTTTATCTCAATCTCAAGAAAATGGAGACGCAGTCTACTTAACACAAGGTCAAGAAGAGGAGCAGATGTAGGTTCAGACCACTATCTAGTGCAAGGAACCTTCCAAATCAAGTTGAAAGCCTTCAAGGAAGCTGGTGATAGACCTCAATTCAAGTACAACACTCGGAAACTGAAGGATGAAACTACAAAGGAGATCTTCAAAGCAGCCATCAAGACAAAATGGGAGACGTCGAGGGACATCCCTGAAGAAACCTGTGTAGAAGAACACTGGAAGTCTTTGAAAGCTATGTGGAAAGAAACCTGCACAACAGTATTAGGAAGGAAGAAGGTGGAAGACAAGGAATGGATCTCGACGGATACCTGGAAGCTGATAGAGGAGAGGAGGATGGTGAAACAGAAGATAAACCAGTGCAAGGATGCTCAACGACAAGAGGAACTGAGCACAATGTATAAAACACTGGATAAAGAAGTGAAGAAGAGTGCACGCAAAGACAAAAGACACTTCTACGACACACTGGCAAGTGAAGCAGAACAGGCTGCAGGTAAGAGAGACCTGACGACATTGTATCAAATAACCAGGTTGCTATCAGGGAAGAGACCAACACAGATGAAACCAATAAAAGATGAAGAAG